AACTCTAATAGGCTTTCAAACGTACATTTCTGGCATTATTATTGCGGGGGTCTCCCGGGACGGAGATAGATCAATCGAGGGGGGGGAGGGGGGGGGGGGGACTTTATTAATGCGAAGTCAACATTACCTGGAAACCTTCCCCAATCTTCTAATCTTCTCCAAATGGTGGTATATGTACCTTTTGTAAACCGCTGGAGGACTTCCGAAAAGAGGACCCAAATCTTGCACGAACTCAGGATCCTAATCCTCACAAACCTCATGCGGCCTGTATCCGGTGCGGCGTTTACTCACAACTACTGGAGAAGTACAAGGCAAGCTGGCCGAAATTCTCATAAACTGCTAGAGGTCTCTGCAAGAAGGAACCTGAAGCCCATTAACCAAGAAAGACATCCCTTAAAACATACCACAGATCCCAGCAGATTACGTTTTAATCCATCGTGAAGTAAGAACGATTTCCAGGATTGAAGCAGGGATGCTTGGCCTAAGCTTCTTCCCTTCACCTCAAAAACGAAACCCGAAATCTGCCTCGCGCAAGTTAAAGCCCTATGATTACTACCTACACCTTGTACCCTAAACCTCCAAGACCCAACCTTCATCCCGAAGCCTTCCACCGCAAAACTTTGGCTTCTAAACCCCCCAAAACTGCACCCTTAGCCTCCAAACACTACCTTGTGCGGCCGCCAGGTGCGGACGCAGCCGTTGCTTTTGGTATCGCTGCTGGGCGCCACAGCCCTACAGCCGAAACTGACTGAGGCTGGAAATGTATGGCGTGGTCCCTTTGAGGGAGGTTATAGGGCTTACGTAGGACTTATGAGGCTGAGATTGGGCAGCGGTTTTGACAGGCATTTGCAGACATCAAGTGGGGGAGATAGTTGGGATAACACAGGGTAAGGATGAAGCAGGTAGGTTCTCAGAATAGTGTATGGAGTGGATTGTCCCCATGGCTTCAGTGGATGTAGCGAATGTAGGTGCCCGCGAGGGTTCCTAGGGATAGTGTTGCAGTAGGTGGCCGCCTTTTGTGCTCGGTTGGCGACCTGTTTTACAGCCCAAAAAGTGTGGATGCTGTATTCTGGTAGTTTTTCGAATTGTGTTTAGAATCTTCACCCCGAGATGACTATCTCGGAGCGTTCACAACACCCCCGCCGCCGCCACCACCACAGCCACTGTAGGCGCTGCACGATGCTGCTATTGCGGCCTGCGGAGCGAAGCGCACAAAGCGCCTTACCTGAAATGCTCATTTGTAGCCATACGGGGATTGAAGAATTTTCTGTTTGTGATAGAAGTTCTTAGATCCCTGTACGAGGTTGCATAAGTTGTGTATTGAACGGTAGAGGGACCATTCGAGCCATTTTCGCAAGCCCCAGGAGGCGGGGGCCGCAAAGGGTGATTGAACAAGAAGCCCAGAATAAGCCGAAAGCAGGCCATGATAGGGAAGGAATGCATCCCCAATTCATGAAGGAGTTGCAGGAGTAGATTAATTGAGGGCTCTTTTTTCATTGCAGACAAATGATTCGCTGATGACCTGTGGGAGTTGATCAAGTCCATTTGCGTATTGTCCGTGACCCTTCTACAAACCGTTCATGGATCCGTTCAGCGTGTCTTAATGGATTGTTCACATGTCCACGGCTAGAATCTCAAGGACTTGGAATACCTAGGGAAAGCCTCGGTGGCGGCTCACCATTGCCAGGTCAACCTTTCAGAGTCCCCAAACCCATACGGGAGCTTCTCACAATCCGAGGTTCACACCTGGAAAACTTCGAAACTAGTGGGGCCCTATCATGAGTGCACCCCCACAAGAACAACCCATAATCTGAAGAAGCACAAAAAAGATCGCCCCAAATGAGTTGAGCCCGCACCCAGCCTACACATGCCGTTTGGGCTTCTGGGATGGGGGGGGGCGGGATGTGCCAGGTATTTGTCCTCTACGTATGACATGCGCATCCTGCCCGCAAAGCGTGGTGGTCGCGACTCTCCTGGCTACCGGGTAGAAGGCATTCTCAAGCGACGCTGGCTCCTTGGCAAAAGCTCAGGTGAAAACTTAAATTGAATTTGATAGTCCTGCAAACCTGGTCTGCTGTTGGCAAACCTGCTTTCAACTCCAAGGTTAGAAAAGTTGTGCAGTGGGATCCCCGCAGTGCTTGTTCTTTGCGTGGACTGGTCGGAAGATCTGCGCCAGCCAGAGCAGGACTTGGGGATCAGAGACCTAGCGTGCAGCGAGACCTGCTGCAATTCAATTTGAAAGATTTGCGAAAAAATGCTGGGAATGTCGGTGTGTCTACCTTGCTTTGCCTGACCTCTGACGTTTGGCCTTGCCCTCCTTTGCAGGAAGAGTCCCAGGTACTTCATTACTTGCAGCACGCTCGCCGACAAGCAAAGGCGCGTATCTGCAATGCTAGCCAGACGCACATATTGCTGGCATTGCGCGCGTGCTGCTCTGCGATGCAGCTGGAATCTTTGCCTTGTCAACCTTGACGCGCAGAGCGCTGTTCTCTCCACGCTTGAGTTCTTTGATGCAGGAACGCGACCTCCGGCTGCTGATTTTCATCGTTCTCCATGAGAGCACAGCGGACCCAGAGGCGAAGTTCCGGTAGATCTCATGGCAGACAGAGGGCACTGAGATCTAAACTGCTATGATTTATGCTCTGCTCATCTCTTCCGCATTTTGCTGATTGCAGGCGTCTTGCGCGTTCCTCCGCAATCAGCCAGAGTTTCCTGGACTGGTTGTTGCCATGGGGACAAGCGATCTGTCGATGAAGGCCCGCGTGCTCGACAGAGGATTCCTACAGGAAGCTGGTGCAGTTTCTCCACACGCGTCTGCTTCAGGCGCCGAAACTCGAGCGCCTCATCTATCAAAGCGCTATGTCCTTCTATGCCTCTCGGCTTGTTGTGCTGGATTCAGATCAGAGCAGGGATGTCAAACGAAATCTTCTTGCAGAAGTGCAACAGCCTACCATGGATACTTGTAACATGAGAAGATTGCGTTGTTTTCATCTTCCTTCTCGCGTTGCTTGAGGCAGATGAGGAGAAGAGGCTGCGCAAGCCCTGGAGCCCCAAAGTCCCAGCTGCTCGCCTGTGCTTGGACACATGCACGATTTTACCTTGGTAGCTGACATCATGCCACTTTGTGGCTGCCCGCGTTCATTAAGTTACCAGTAATGAGCATGCAGGTGTCGGCAGCAGCGCAAACTGCCATGCAGGCACGGCTGCTAAATTGCCGGCTTTCTTACTTGGATTAAACAAGCGTTCAACTAAAGACGAATGTTGAGGTCAATTCCTGCTGCTCTGGAGGTCAGGATGCAATTCAAGGTTGCCTTCCTGAACGAGTTTCGCAAAGACGTCCGAGCTGCCTTGACGGCTTACATCAAGGCAGGGGTCAACAGCCAGTGATGGCGTAAGTTGTTAGATCTGCATGTTGTGCCCTTGTGGTTGCTGCACGGAAAGGCCTATGAACTGCTGCTCATTGACTCAGACATCATCGACCCTATAGAGCGGATGGACTTGTGTAATCACATAACCATCAGGACGGGAGTTGCAAAAGAGCCGGTCCATGACATTTGCTGCCAACTGTAGGTACGTTTCTAATCTTGGTGAGGGCTGTCACAAGTAACATGTCCCTATCCCCCAACAGCAGTGCAGTACAGATGTTCTAGCCAAGCTTCCTTTGGATCACGGATGCAGGATGTATGAGAGATATTTTGCATCACACGATGTGGGGGCTGCCGTCCATCACTGCCGCATACATACCTCTTCAATCAGAAAGTGTGCTGCCACTCGTCTAAACGTGAGCATTCCGTGGCAGTCCCATTCGGCAAAAGCAAAGCCCATCATAAGATGGCTTAGCTGACTACCATTCACAGGCTGATGAAGATGAGCTCGTGTGGCGCAAGTGGCGCTGGCTCTCTTTGAGGCCTTGGCTCAATTTGTAAAGACTTGTCAGAGCATGCAGCACCAGCGTACCAGCATCTTCTGTGCCTGATAAGCTCCGTTGTCTTGAGCTGGGTGAAGCTATCTAGTCAGATCATCTGAGGAATCATGTGATCTTCGGCCACGGGGTTGCAAGATTCACCAGGCTGCGCCAAGGAGGCTGTTCACGTGAGACTCTTGAGCCGAGGCGACTTTTTGGACACAATGTCGCAGAAGGCCCCTATGCCCCTTGGAAGATCACTTGGCTGATGATCCGTTCTTCCGGGAATGGTTGAGGAATCGCATCATGGCCAATCTGGTCCCCAAGGTGCCAGCACAATTGTTGCGCGAGCTTAGCAAATTTCGGCTTCCTCTCACGTGCTCAAGTCCTGCACGAACGGCTGGTGTTCCCTTGTTCCCTGGATTCCATGAAGTTATCCGATCCTGCAGAGTCTGAGGCTGATTGACCAAAACGACATTTGGCAGTTCCCGGGCTTCCATTACCAGGCGCGTCACTGCATTTGGACTTATGTCTTGAGAATGTGGTTGGTCTCTTAGGGCTCTTCTTCTTAGATGCAGCACCGCGCTTGGGTGGATGCAGCGATGTTGGCGGCACATACTGGTGGGTCTGTCGCTTCGGTTTGGACAATGCAAATATGCGTAGAGTCAGGTGGTTGACTGGACATCTGTGAACAGCTTTATTCCCCCAAGCCCTAAATAGTAGCTTCCATTCTATGTAACTCTATATTATCCTGCATTACCCATTATAGTAGCTTCCATTTTTCCAGTATCCCGGTTTAACATTATATTACCTTGTATTATCCCTATATTGAGAAGCCATGAGGCTGCTGCTAGCTACGCCCGACGCTTGCGTTGCCTGCCTGCAATCAAGGAGGGCCATAATTCAGGTACAGTCCCCCTTAAGCAGATAGAATACAGGGTTTAGGGTATAGTCCCCCTTAAGTAGATAGAATATATCTTTGGGTATATTATCATAAGATCCCCATATACCCCAGATTCTATCTACTTAAGGGGGACCATAGGACTAGAAAGGCCAAGCCCTGCCGAAGGGTAGGTTCCCAAAATCAGGGTCCCTTTTTGAATTTTGGTACCTTTAAAAGGGGGATATAGGGGTCTTATGGGGATATATAGGGTTTAGGGTAGTTCCCAAATTAGGAGTATATTGGGGTCTATAGGGGTAATTTAGGGATAATGGCAAAGAAAATGGAAGCTACGCTTTAGGGTTAGGGTAGTTCCCAAAATTAGGGTCCATCTTGGTACCAATAATGGAGAATCAAATGGAAAAGAGAATGGAAAATGAAATGGAAACTCGGATTAATATACGGGTTTATAGCGCTAGGGTTTCCCAAGATTAGGGTCCCATTTTGGTACCCCTAAATATGAGGTACCGTAATATCATCTATAACCGCAGGGGGCTCTGAATTTTGAGAACAACTCGCGTGTGCCTAAAGAAGTCTAGCCAACAACAATGGACCTGCCCGCGCATGGGGTTCACTTGCAGCGACATGTATTCAACTTATAGCCAACTTTGCAAAGTCTGTGAGTGCTAGTTTCCTAGCAATGTTGCTGAACTGTGAAAGTGAATTGTGGAAGGAGCCTGAATCCCTAGAAATATTGAGAGCATCCGAAACTCCAAGCATTCAGCCTTGAAAGGGAAACGGAAGTTTCCCCAAATTAGGGGTATCCTTTTGTGGGTCTCCCCCAGAATAAGGGTGAGAGTATGTGAGAGTATTCGGGCGTCTAAGTTGGGGTCCCCCAAATCTCGCCTCATCCTTGAGGCGAATGGGCACTGCGATGCCTCGAGCCAGGGCATTTGCCACCTTGCTCCGAGCAAGGTGGGGAGCTGAGGCCTTCGCCCTTCCTGGGCCAGGCCATGGGACCAGGAAGGAAGGAAGGAAGTATGGAGAGGATGTGCAGAAAGTCTGAAGTTTGGAGGTCTCAGTTTCTGAGCAAAGGGTGGCACCTAGATGGCTTTCGGCAATGTTCTTTAGTCACCATTTTTTTCGGCATATCCGTGCAGTGGATATTGAAATTGCCGGAGGGTGCTTCCGAGGTTGGCATCTCGATGCGCCTTACAGCATGACCTGATCATTCGTCCGACTGTATAAAGTCGGGAGAAAGTCCGAAAATGCGTTCAGCATTTTCTTCAACCAATTAGTAAGAGAAACTGCAACGCTCACTGCGTGTTTTCTTGAAATGGTTCCTTCCCGCTTCTCTTCAGGGATGTGAGATGCAAGCCTCAACCAGTTGGTAGGAGAAACGTCGCGTGCTTTCTTAGTCTTGCGTCAGTTCTCAGTCGGGAAGAGCCTCGCCCTCATCTATCAGCATGCATCATACAGGTTTTGACATTAAATGACATTCGGGGCCCCACAACTACCCTTTCTTACTAGACCCTCCAACTACCCTCTATTCAGGCGTAAGTATCCACTATAAGGGGCCCTGCAACCACAATAAGAGTACTTTCAGGGTCCTGGTTTTCAGGACCCCCACTGCAGGGACACTGCTCAAGAGGCGCCCATCCTTTCTTGCTGGCAGGCTGGAGTTTTGGAGCGGCCCAACGAGGTTGAGGCTGGGTCCATGTGAACCATAAACCCTTATAATAGTCCCCTATATAATCCCATAGAATCCCTATATAACCCTCCTTAATTAAGGAGTGTTGACTGTAGCTCATGTGAGCTAACCATGTGATCTTTTCCGACAGGTACAGCAGGTAGAGGTCCCAAATCGGGGAGTCCTTTTAACCGGGGTTATCGCATGTTTTGGTGATATATGAGACGCGCAATGCTATTTTCCGATTTTATGTGCAGGTGGTAGCTGTTATCACTGTTATTGTCTCAATGGTGGTTTTGGCAGCTTGGGAGCCGAGAGAAGCAAAAAGAATGTTTGTGATACACGCGGCTAGCACCCGCTAGGTCAAATGGGTCTATAGTGTCTTGAGCTACAAGAGGCCTGCATTTATTAGCATTGCTAAGTCAAATTATTGTCAAATTGGCGACGTCAGAAGTGCTTAGACAGAAGTGCTGCGGTTGCTGCTTACTTGAATCGTCATTGTCACGAGTCAATGCATCACATGGGCAGTGTTGTGGCCAAACCTCACAGATATCAATGACCTGGGCAGGCTCCTGCCAGAGAGGTGGTGTTGCGTCTGGCACATGCGGAGGCCCTGCGCGTTGTTGTCAGCTGTTGTAGGATGTTGAACAGTGGAAACGCCCTGAAGGCGAAGCTGTGCACAGATCACGCAGACCGCAGCTTGAAGCTGCTCATCCGGTCGCAGGCTGCAGCGAAGGAGCGCGGCTACAAGGCCTGGATCACGGCATCCCAAGCCCGCGTGGCAGAGGCTTACCTTTGTGAGCCTGGCAGCGGGCATCAAGAAGCTGCCCGCAATCTTTTTGAACGTCTGCGACAGATGCCAGCCCCTTCCTGGCCATCGCTGCAAAGATTTTCCCTGGAGCGCTCGTTGCTCTGCTGTATTACTGCACTGGGCTTGCCAGTTCCGACGCTTTGTTCGTCCACCCGGGCTGTTCCAGCCAGCACTTCTGCGGACATGGAAGCAGAGGTTTCGCCGTCTCAGGATCTGGCAACCCTCAGAAGAAGCTTAGTCCAAGATGCCTTCGAATACCTGAAGCTTGCAGAAACTGCCGTGTCAGACAACCAGAGCCAAGCTGAAGAGCTACTGAGCTTGGTGGCCAGTGCTGCCAAAGATGAGGAGGCAGGCAGCATTGAGGTACAGTTGGCCCAGTGTCAGGTGACCTGGGACGGAAGCCCTGCAGATCCCGATGCCTTCCATGTCGTCTTTGGTGCGCTGGAGCTGCCCATTGGTTTGGACCTGTCGAGCTGCTCTGCCAGCACCACGAGTGGACACTTTGCTGCACCACTCTAGGATTCTACATGCTAGCAGCCGACATCTAACACTCTCGCGGGATCTGGTCAAAGACTCATTTTCAATCTTGTGGGTGATATTACCCCAATATATTATACTTGTTTCCATTTTCTTTTCCATAATCCCCCATATAATCCCAATATAACCCTAATAAAACCCCAATATAACTATAACCCCAATATAACCCCAATATAACCCCAGTATAACCCTAATAGAACCCCAATATAACCTTAATATAGCCCCTATATGGCAGCGCTTTGTCAGGAGATGTTCCTCTGACCGTGGATGCTGCAGAAGGGCAGAGCTGGCAGGCACATAAGGGGTCCCAACCTGGGGTCCCCCCAGAAACCAATAATTTCTATAGTCCCCCTTAAGTAGAATATAAGGTTAGATTGGGATAATGGAAAAGAAAATGGAAGCTACTATTTAGGGTTTATGATTTAGGGTTTAGGGTTAGGGTTTATAGCCCCCCTTAAGTAGATAGAATATGGGGTATATGGGGATCTTATTATAACATACTCAAAGCCATATTCTATCTACCTGAGAGGGACTATATACCTGTGCTTTCTACTCCCATCCAAGACCCCCAACGCAGCCAGCAGCGTCGGCTGTAATCCAGGCGTACACTTAGCCTTGAGGTCCTGGCAAGGTAATCGACGCCATGGTCGTAGAAGGGATTGGATATACATACGGACGTAAGGGTTCACAGAGAGAGAGTACGTACAGGAGCGTAGTCTTCCTGTTGCAACAGTGCCCACAGCAGCAGAAGAAAAAGGCGGATGCTGAACGGGCAACCGGTACATTTGGTTTCCCAAATCATCCCAAGAGGCCTGGCAGCCCCTCCAGCTTCGCGGATCCCTGCCGGGCGTGGCTGCAGCTGTGACCACGGTGCTTGAAGGGATATGGTAGTTGATCAGAATTCCTGTTCCCAAAAGGAGAACAACAGGATACCTAAATGATTTCCCCGAAGGACCTTGAGATCTTCCTCAAAAATTACGGCCTAATTGGAGCAGAAAGGGCTTGATAATTGAGCTTGAGTGCGGTCAAAGGCTTCCAGGGGTTTATAACTCCCCGGACCCTACACCCTAAACCCTATATAACCCATTATAAGAGTTTCCATTTCCTTTCCCACTGTCCCAATAATATATATCCCCAAACATAACCCTCATATTACATCAAGGGGTACGTATTTCCCCCAGACCTCACTTGATGGGTTTTTAGGCCTATAAGGGCGCTGAGTGCCGCAGGCTCTTGGATTTCAAGATTTTGCGCAGGTCTGTATTGGGGTAATATTGGGGTTATATAGGGATAATGGCAAAGAACATGGAAAGGAGTATAGTGTATTGGGGTAATATTGGGGTTATGTAGGGATAGCGGCAAAGAAAATGGAAACTAGTATAGTGCATTGGTGTAATATTGGGGCTATATAGGGATAATGGAACAGAAAATAGCAACTAGTATAGTGTATTGGGGTAACATTGGGGTTATATCGGGATAATGGAAAAGAAAATGGCAACTACTACAGTGTATTGGGGTAATATTGGGGTTATAAAGGGACAACGGCAAAGAAAATGGAAACTACTATTTGGTGATTTGGAACTCGTTCTTCCGTAGTCTGTTCTGCGTGGCGATCGCGCTCCCCCAACCCTAAACCCCAAACCGCGTAAATGTTGAGCTCTTGTTTACAAGGGCCTGCCTTTGGAATGACTAGGAGAGCAGACAAAGAGCTAAACAGATTTGGTTTCGGGATCCACTCCTTTGACTACTTCCCAAACCTTCTTACCAGCTTTCATAGGGATTACTATTTACTGTGGAAGGCCAGGGCTTCTGTAAGTTGCCCTGATGTTCCAGGTTCAGGTATGAAGGTCTAAAAAACTGTAGAGGTGCCCTGGGCAAGTTGGGAGTGGAAGATGTCTACTACTGGGGTTATATTGGGGTAAGGTTATATTGGGGTAATATTGGGGTTATAAAGGGATAATGGAAAAGGAAATGGAAACTACTATAACTTAGGACAAGGTTTTCTCTCTTGTTTCCGATTTTCCGATGGCTAAGTATCATTGAGCTTTATGCTGCCCAAATACTCTGCATTACTTTCTGCCTGCTTTCTTTTACTCGGCGGTCCTATATGTCTACTGCGAATTACATGTGCCCCGTAAATAAGAACCTAGGGCCCATTGAACATGGTGGTTTTGGCATCGTTGTGCTTAGCAGGTCCGCCTGACCTGGGCGAGTGCCGCCTCCGTGGTCTTTCTAGGCCAGCTACGCTCCCTTTAGCCAAACAAACATCAAACCCTGCTTAGGGAAACCACCAAACCAGTGGAGCTTTCAGAACAGCATCGACTGTTTGTAGTGTTGAACATGACATGAGGGTGTTGGGATGTGACATATGACAGCCAAAGCTTTGTGCTCCTGTACCTCACAAACAATCCCGATGTACTTGTACCAGCATGCAATCCCAACGTGCAAGCCTGCAGAAGTGTCATTTTTTCCACGACAGGCACCTGCGAGCCAAAGCCGCCAAGTGCGACCGACTTGATCAGCGATGCTGGCCGCTACTCCGGCTTTCCGGCCTTCAACCTCGCGGATGGCACTTTGAATGCCAAGCAAGTATCCCAAGAAGGGGTGCGGAAGCCTAGCGAGGTCCGGATCAAGCTGCAGTCGGAAACAGTCTTCCCAGTGGAACCCGTAGCTGGCTTGGTGTCGGAGTGCTTCATGTTCTACGTTGTGATCTACGTGGCGCCTGAGCGGTCACCTGTGGGATCCTGCCAACTGAACCTTGCCTGCCACCCGCGCTTCAGCGAGGATCTAGATGAGACCATTCCTGCGCACCTTGCAGACAGGCCATCAGGCTTGCGGGTGGACCTGATCAAAGCTCCCATTGCCACAAAACCCTGGGAACTGGAACCACTTGACACCTCCGGTTCGAATATCGTGGTGGCAGACTTCTCCAAGGAGGGTCTCAAGGCCTCAGGCTTCTTGGACGAATCAAAGGGTGCAACAGAAGAAATCCTGGATGTCGTTGGATGCCTTTCCAGGGAATTGCATCAATTCAGCACTTGAGACAACACCCTCGCCTAAGCCAAGGGACGAAAGTACTATGGCACCCAGAGGGCTCATGGGTTTTCCAATGCTGAGAATGACGAAGAGCATCAGAATCTAATACTGTCAAAAGGAATGACAGCAACAAGGACATAGAAAACAATAACTGCTGCCAAGTTGCAAGTCAGCATGACTAAAGTGTGCAAGACAAACATGATGCACTACCTACTAGCCATGCGAACGGCACTGGGAATTTAGAGGGACAAAGTCTGTAAGGTGGCGCAGGTTCCCTCAATCCAGAGTACTTATGATTAATCCCCTCCCCCTAACATTAAACCCTCCACGCCCCCTAATATTGACTGCTCACCAGTGTGGTATGTTACAATATATTGGGATTATTCTATATTACGGGGAGGTGGCGGGGCTTTAATACCCTAGATCCTAGACCCGAAACCCTAAAAAGGAGCGCTAAAAAAAAGACACGAAACCCTAATAATAATCCCTATATAACCTTCAAGGGTGGGGGGGTTTAATGTTAGGGACAGGGGATTAAGCAGGCCCAGAGCAACCTCAGGCTTCAAGCCTCCTTCCGAATTTGTACTTGGGGGTTTCCCAAAATTAGGGGTACCCCTTAAAGGGGTTATAGGGGATTCATAGGGACAGGATTTGGGAATTTCCCAAAACGAGGGGTACCTTTTTGGGGGTCCCTATAATAAGAAATATAGTATTTTAGTCTCTTATTGGGGCCCCTCTATATAGGGAAACTACCGCTTCACCTCAAAGTCTTCAGCGCGACTTCCCTTAAAGAGTCTTCCTCCAAAGCTTGCTTGACCAGAACCCTGAAGCCTCAACCTGAAACCATCTGAAAGCCTTCCTCCTCCACTAGAAAATTCCGGTGACAATTTTGGGACTAAAAATAGGCATGGCACCATGGCTCTTCCACCAAGGCTTCCTGAGCCTGGGAGGCGAGGAGCTCGCTGCAGCTCCACTGAGGCTCAGGGCCTGCTCTCCGGGACCTCCAGCAGCAAAAGCAAGGATTTGGGGTCAGAAAACGCTGTTTTCTACAGGGTCCCTTGCTAGCATGCTACTTCTGGTGCCATTTCTGATGTTGTCGAGTAACTTCTGCCTGACAGAGGTGCAGGAGTGGGCTGCGGGACCTTGTTAGGCAGTCGAGCCAGGAGTTTGCAAGCATTTTTTGGTATGCACAGTCCCCGTAGACGGACCCGCACAGATTGTGAGTGTCAACCCAGAATCCGAACAAATCACGGATTTGGCAACATTTGGCAAGCCGAGGAGCACACTACATTGCCTTGCCACTGGCGGTGCGCTGCGGACATGCCTGCGGTGTGTCCATCGGGATTGGGATTCAGCAGGTGGGAGGAGATGCGGAGGCGCAGTGCTGGACCCCACAGATGCGGTTCAAGCTGCGCGGCATGCATTGAACAGCGGGTGAGGGCTCCAGGCTTTGATTTAGGATTTGGTTGCTGTTTGCACCATGCAAGGCTAGGATTGTTGATACATACTCCTTTGGTGACAAAGGCATGCGGTGAAGTTGCACGTTACAGAAGAGCGTCTGGTTGCGGCCATGCTGGCTCAGAAGCCTGTGTCCTTCTCCTTACGAGGACAATTAGCTACAGCTGTCGAGACTGTGAAGGCAGAGGTTCAATTCACTCCAGAGGGCGCGGAAGGTGAGCGCACAGCGGCCTGCTTGGGCAAAATGGGCCAGATGCAGCCTGGGTCTTCTCACGCCTTCCTTTGGCCTGTTGAGACAGGATTGATCTTGAAATCGCGGCCTCGCCTGCGGATCGGCTTCCAGCGACACAAGGCTTTGCAAGCGTTCTTCCCCTGGAAAGACATGACCAGCGACTGGCCATCCAACCCTTTGCCTGCAGCTGTTGTTGAGTGGTTGCTGCCTGCACCGACATCAACTGCTGTGAGCGCCCAGGCTATGCAAGTGGAACTGCAGGTTAACAGCACAGGGACAGTGGGAGTTCCACTTGCAGTTCATGTCCGCTTAAAGGACGCCAGATTCGTGGATCACGAAATCAAGATCAGGGTCCTCCAAGGTGAAGGCGAAGTTCCTGACAGGTACCTCCTGTCTGGGCCAGTTTGCTATCAGGCTGCTTGCCTCACGTCAGATGATCCCAACAATGTCATTCCTCGCTTTTCGCTCATTCCGTTGAAGACTGGATGGCTTTCATTGCCCCGCGTGCAAGTCACCTGGGGGAGCCAAGATGCCACAAGCACGCCAAGCTCAGTCTTCATCGTCCCAGCGCGGCCTGCTCTGGCACGAAGCCTCGCTTGACAATGCGGAAACGCCGCAGTGTCCTTGATAACGAAAGGATAGGTTTTCTGAACGGCAAGAAAATGAGGAGGGCAACAGGCAATCGGATCAAATTTGGATCGGTTTTGTGCTCCCGTGCTCCTTACACTCATGCCATTTCGTCAACTTGCAGCTACCACGAATAATTTTGTCGGGAGAGGCTCTCTCCCTAACCTATGCCAGACATGTTGCCTCAGTTGAGGCCGACGCTCCTGCTGGCTTCAGATAGTTGCGGCCTCAGTACAAAGCTGTACCTGGCCTTCCTTGTCCTGCTGTGAGTGTATGCATGGGGGTACATAGCCGAGCAGCCCAGAGGGGAGGGGGAAATCTGGTCCAAGGAAGATCATGAAGCGGCTTCTTGTCCTGAAGCTGAGGTGATCGCCTGCTTATCTCTGATAAGGAGGCAGATCGTTTGAGGCTGGATCCAAGGTATGGCACCTTCAATAGGTACAAGCACGGCAACCATGTCTCCAGAACGGGCCATCTCATGCATGATGTCCCCGAATAAGACCAAACTTTTGAGAAGCTGTGATGTCGGGAGCATTGACCAGGGGATTGCTCCAAGCCCGATGCGGGGACAAGAAACTCCAGGCCTCTCCTGATGATGTTGCATGGCGGTTGCATCTACTGTCTGTTGCTGGTCACACTACAACTTTTCGCTGCTGTTGCTGTGACTGTCCTAATATCCTTGCTGTCTGGGCAAGACGCGGTTGTAGGAAGCCGCTGCCAGTTGCTTTCATTGCTAACTCCAGACTTTATTACAGCCTAGTCTTTGCTGGCGCTAGCTCTACGGTCGAAAATACGGGGATAGAGGGTGTATTCTGATGTAACCTTAGAGTGACGCCAGAATTATTGGTGCCAGTGCCCACAGTCATGGTTGTGATCGCAGCGGAACTCCCCTCGGCTCCGCTTTGATCAGAGGCATAATTCACAAAAGCTGCAAATTAGAGATAGGTGTGTAATAAGATCTCCGCGGTGTTCGGAGCGTAAAGATGCTTACTTGTTATCAGATTCACGTGATTCATGTTGGAATGGTCCATCTGGCTGTGGACCGCTGCGCGGAGTACGAAATGCCTGCCAAGAATATTGCGCAAGTATCCATATGCCATCGGCAACAAAGCCCAAAGGCCTACAGCAGAGCAAGCAACACATGCCGCAGCATGAGGTGAGAGCTTGGGGGAACTGTTTGAGAGTTGAAGGAACTCGCTCGCGCCTGAAAGCTATGCAGACTTTTGTTCACACTAGTTCGGAATACTGTTGGCAAGCCACAACAGAACATCGTTCGAACCCTGACTGAAAGGGGTGTAGATTCCTTAGTAGGGCGTGTCTCATGTTTGTTATAGAGAGGGAGCTTAAGTGAATAATCAGGTGGTGGATCTCAAGGATGCCGGTCACGCTCCTTTGGACAGCCGCGTCAACGTCGCCAAGCTCCTCAAGGACGCAGATGTGGGGACTGTAGGTGCTACAAGTCATGTCCACTATCCCCCATTTGCACCTTGAACAAATACATGTGAGGCTCCCTGTAGCAGCATCAATAGCATCTTTGAGACTGGCGAGGTTCTGTCAGCAGTTGAAGCTCCAAATGGGTAGTGCCGCCGCCGAGAACCCAGCCCATGGATCCTCTGACTGGCAAAAGTCCCCAGTTTGTGCGAGAGTATCAACATGAGGCAGCCATTGCAATAGGGAGGAGAAAATGAAGCCGACAGGCTCTGTTTGCTTCAGATGTTTCTAAGGCATTCAAGCCATTGCTTCCTCCTGGTCACTTGGTCCATTTACTCCTCCTGCAATTTCCCATGAAAATATGCGCATGGGCTTCCAGAGCGCCATTGCAGGAATCGCCCATCTACGAGCTATGGCCTCAGGGTGCACGCGTAAAGTACGACAGCCCCGGAATGCGTGAGCTTTAGATGTACATCTGACCTGCACTCTCTTAAGGAGGATTACTAGTCAAGTGCCAACCATGAAGCCCGAAAAATTCAGAAGCTCGGTCACTCCCATTTGGTGTTTGAGGGGTTCCAGAAAATGGCGCAGTGGAAGACATGCACGGCGATATCATAAGCAGTGCAGTGGCAGTGCTTTCATCCTGCATGTGTCGAGGAAGCCATCATCGCGCAACTACGTCGGCAGCAGCCTTGGCATCCTTTCAGGCAATTCTCGCACTTGTAGACCTTTGCGACATCTCTACCGAGCACAACCACAAATTCCAATGCTGCCCGGGCAATGACCCCTGCACTAACGTTCGCAGGGTTGCGCAGATGGCTCAGATGATTTCAATCTCCCCACGCTGGAGAAGCTGGAGCAGGGCTCGAAGAACATCGAGCCTATATCGGCCCTGGTGTAAGCCTGGCCTGCGTTGAACATCTTGCGCATACAGGCCCAAGTGCCTCTGAGTGGTGTGACTTTGCGCTATGCATGCGGGCTGTTCTGAAGCACGAGCACGTTGGGATTGAGGATGCTGCTTGTACAGCAGGCGTTACCAGTATTTCAGCCCTCTTACAGATTTCAGTCTCCGGATGATCACCGAGACATGCTATGTCAAAACTTCACCAGGTCGCCGGTTTTCTGTAGCTGGGACGCGGAGACCAACCAGCGGAAGCCGGAGCCTGACTGAGACGGTCTCGCTTTAGGCACTAGGGCCAAGGCCTATTGTGCAACAACCCTAAACCCTTGCCTGCGCTCAGCAGCTGCGCTTTCGGAAAGGATTAGAAGTAATTAGGGGCCGCAGCATCAAAGAGGTGGCAGCAAGCCTACTACCCAGAGCTGAAGCCCAACAGAAGCTCCTGCATGATAAGCCCTGCAGATGAGAAGGTTTGGGCTACAGGGCGTGCCGGACCCGAAAGAGCTGGGTCGCCCTGTCCTCCTCGCCCTCCGGCCACGCTTGACGTCGTCCATGATGTGTTCTTAAGGCAAGGCAGAAGAGAAGTCTGAGGTCTAAAGATGATTGGGGGGGTGACATTGAAGCGGGACATAGCAGGAGTCATTAAAGGTTCTGGTCGGTGGCATCGCTAATACTGATGGCAAGTTATTGCCTGGTTGATTTGTGCAGCTACCAACCTTGTGATGACAGCTATGCTATACGTTATTGTTGGTGCTGATGCCATAGTTGCATGTGAACTTTTGCGGTACAAGTTGCAGTCCTATCGCAGGCAGGGCATGGAGCAACCGGTTTGCGTAAGACATGGCCAGCTGGCCGTGCTGGAATCTCTTGCTACTGCTGCCAGGTTGGCAATCATCAGCTTTTTGCATTGGATCTAGGACCGCTGGCAGCTGCCTCAGCGGCTGTTCAGGGGCACTCTCACTTTTGACCCGAGTAATTATATTCCCCGCCGCGGTGGCACTGTGAAGTTGGAATCACATAGTGAAACGATGGAGGCCAGTCAGAGCCCGTACAGAGGCAACCCTGCTGTTAAGGTGCGGGAGTTCCTCATCGAGCGGGGCTATGCTGCCAGAGGCCATCCTGCGTCATGCAGTTCATGGCATTTTCACAGATAGTTGTGGCAAACCTGCTCGTGACAGCCGTGCATGGCTGATGCAGTTGGTTCGCTTTGTTGCAATCTCAGTTCAGATGGGTAGACGGCAGGTCTGGAGATTAACCCTGAGCACCCACTGCAGATTTCAACTCCACAGAATGCCTCAACAGCAGCTTCTGCTGACAAAGTGTAGAAGCGCTTCAGGGTGGTTGTCTATCTCCCATCAGAAACAAGCCCAGACAGCTTGCAGGTCTGGCGCATCCCATCAATTTCCCCGACGTGCCATGGCAACATTTCATCATGATGGAGGAATCTGTGTTAAGCGGGCTGGTGCCGCAGAACATGTGCTGAAAGAACAATTCTTTTGATGTCCCTTGATGTCCCTGGTCGTCCGCTCCATGTGTCCAGCTCCTGCTGCTTTGATGCAGCCTAGGTCTTCAAGAGCTTGATGTCAGCGACGGTCTCGATGGACGACCCAGGTACCTGAGGGATCCTGAGGGTTTCTGTGCCCACGACTGCTACAGACCTGAGAACACAGTGCGTGGCACGAGAGATGCATTGCTTTGATGGTACGTGCTGAGCTCTGCACAAGTGGGGCACCACCATGAATGCCTGCTGGAAGCAAATTCATCCATCTCGTCCTACTCCTGAGCGATGATTGTCAGGCCATAGCCATCTGACCCCGCTTTGCAGCTGGCAATTCGCGCCAGGTTTTCTGGATTTCGCAGGTCTTCCTTTTGAGCTTCGCGCGGCCGCAAAAGCGGCACAAGAGGCACTGCTCACTGCTCATTGTCACCTGTGGGTACATGCTGTGCTTTTGCCATGCATAGTTTGTGGGAGACCTTGCATCTGTGCGTCACCAAGCCGCTGTCTAGTCTGCATTTTGCCAGGCTTGGCAGGAACTGACTGGACAAGGCAGCTTCCTCAGCTGCCAGGAATCACGTTGCTGTGCAAGAGGACACTAGTGCAGCAATCTCTTGGACTGCTAGCTGCTAGCAGACAAGCACATGCTGGGCTCTTGAAACGCCTCGAAGCTCGTACCAGGTAGGATGCCATTTCTGTCAGGCAAGAAGGCTCCAGCCATGGGTCCCTTCGGCATGGGTCGGGAACATAGCATTCCACGGTTTCAAGAAGTTCTGCAGTGACGAAGCTCCATCCACGCAAGGTTCGGGTGAGCATGCCGAAATGGAGGATACTGGCGAGGCGAGCCTTTCTTCACGAGGTTGTGAGAATTGTGAGTCCCTGTTGGGGGATACCTGGACTTGGAATAAGCATCATGTAGGGAGTATCAGTATCTTGTTCTGATCATTGGTTCTTGGACCCTCCGTAATACTCAGAAGTCTCTCTCTCTCAATTCCTGCCCACACCATCCTTGCTCAGAACAACTTGCTTTCCAGTTGGGAGTGGGCGAGAACTTCGGGGTCGGTGGCGCTTTCGCCAAGTGGGGTGCCGCCGTGGACTCAGCACATCAGCACATCCGGACGGGCCTTTTGAACAAAGATACTAATTACT